CCTCCCCCCCTCTCTCTAGATCCTTCTTTTTATCAAACACATATGCACCTGTTTTAATGAAGATTAACGGAACGTTCCCGTGAATGCCAAAGGCACAAAGATCACCATAAAAAAGAAGTAAATAACCCCATTCAAAGCAGTAGATCTAATATATTATAGCTTACATCTCTGTATTCTGTGTGACTAAATAGCGTTGTTTGAACAAAGGAGTTCTATAATACCCGTTATCTTACATCTGTGTATGGTGCTCGAAGAAATAGTTTTGTTTGAACTATGAAATTATAAAATATGTTATATATCTCTGTATTCTGAGGGGCAAAATAGCTTTGTTTGAACTCTTAAGTTCTAGAATAATAATAATATCTTACATCTTCATACTGTGTGTGATAACCGACCGTTCCTTTTGCTTCTCAGTTCCGGGTGTCGCAGTATGAGCCTCCGTTCAGCCTGATCGCCAAGTACACAGGCATGTATGACGTAGACCAGCAGCGGGTCATGTTCCTGGAGGAAAGACTGATGGGTGTTCCCGTGACGCAGTTGAGTTCTGCAATGTGCTTTTGCTTGAGTTTAAGCCCTTACCAAATACAAACAGGTCATTTCAAACAGCTATAAGTGTCATTGTTAAGTTCATTTTGAATTAAATAGAAGTTCTTTAACACGGCAACGGCCATTTAGTGCACACCCGGAAGGTAAGAAGGCAGACACCAACATCAGCGAGAAAAGAGAACAAAGTAGATTTTACAGGCCTACTTTCTGTGGGGCATAGCAGAATGAGATATTTACGTGAGCACATTCTCCTTCTCCGACTGGGATGAGCGACTTTAACGTCATTGCTACAGGGGACCACAGAACAGAGACTATAGTATCATTTGAAAATGAGAAGATGGGTTATTTCAACTTAAAACGTTCGCAAAAATGGATCATCGCCCTCATTATGTTCACTATTCCTTGATAGTGATACCATTATATCTTTCATTGTCAGCTTCTCACAAAAAATACCCCAACTAACCCCAACTAAACAACAACAGCAACAACAACAACCACAACAAAGAAAACCAAACAACCCCCCCCCCACACACACACACAAGCAACACTGTGAACTTGTGCCAATCACAAACTTACGTCCCCTTCCATATTCTAAATCTGGCACCCTATTAAATTAATCGGGAAGAGTCTAAAGAAGCAAAATTCTTTTTTTTAAAAATAGCGACATCTTACCTAACTCATGTTTTAGATTATTTTAATGATTTAATTAAACCTTGCAGAATGTGGGCAGATTGTGCGCCCGCACATG